GGCCTCGTTCATGCCTTTTCCATTTGGAAAAGCTCTGTATGTGAGTGTCTGTTGTGGGAGAAAGTACTCTATATAAGAGAGGGATGGGTGAAAAAAAAAACACTTCTCAGGATCAAAGGCACAGATTCCCGACTCATACTGGAGTACAAAAATGTCTTTTCAGCTGGCAATTTTCACCTGCTTCATTCTAGTATGCAAGCAAGTATGCGGAAAAACTTTAAAGTGGCATTGTTTAAATGAAGAAAATACTTAAGAGTAGAGTCTTTGGCATGCCAGCCAGCCAGCTAGCCTCCCTTCCTGCTATAAATTGTTCATGATATGTCTTTCCGAATATGCATCAAACCTACTTCCTGTGGCCAAGATGCCTGTGGTCGGCCATCTCCCCAGAGAGATGGTAATGCACTTCGATTCAGTCTGCTTTAAATTGCTGCCATATAATTTGTATTTGCACCCTGCCTAAGATTCAGGTTAGAAAATATTTTCTTTAAACCATCAGAATAAAAGTATTTATTTGATGTGAATCACAACACCATTCTGCATTGGAGTGGCTCTCCCTGTGTGTATTTGTGTATCCGTGGTCTGAGGCCTTTTGCAGGGACAGATGCCCGAGTCAGTGTGTATTCATTCCATTCCTCACTCAAAAGTGACGTCAATGAGTAAGTGTCAGAATAATGTAATGATTTTCAATAGGATCCACAGTGAAAAGTGATAATGAGCAGCAGCGATAGTTGAAGCCAAACAACAACAACAAAAACGTTGTACGCCTGGTGTCCAGTCCAAAAGGCAGCAGGGTCAGCATCGTAATTTATGGCATCAGATAATAGACTTTTGAAAATGGAAAAGTCTTGTAGTACTGAGCTGTGTAGTCCATTCCCCTACTCCCCTACCCCCACGGCACGAGGATAGTACACGGATGGTGTTGCAAAACATGCCACAGAAAGCTGGGCTGAATTGTTTGCCCTGGGCTGTTTTGGCAGTTTCAAGGAGCTAAGGGATGAAATGGTCAAGTGAACTGGCCTCCCTTTTTTGAGCGATCCTGAAATCCTCACAATTTTCAGCGCAGGCAAGGGGACTGATTACTAAGCTGAGAGAGGAGGGAGTTTCTGTGCTCCCCATCTCTCCCCCCCTCCCCCCCCATACACACAGATTTCCTGTTCCATCAAGCTTAATGAGAGGTCCCCCAACTCCATAAAGTACTATTAGGATCCAGGGGTCATCCTACCAAAAGTCTTCCAAAGTAGGCAGACACCCACCATTTTTACCCAAAACAAAGGACCTGAGGATGCACGGGATGCATGGTGTACAGTACAATATATCACTGCGGTAGGGCCATTTTTCAGTTCTACAGCAGGCTATGTAAGATGTAAGTCCTATTTAAAAAATTGTCTGCCTTCGGGGATGCAGCCAATCACAAAGCATTCATTTCCTCCAAAGTCTAAACCAGTGAGTCTAAAAGACAACTTGCCCAACAGGACCTAAGCAGAAGGCTGAAGCAACCTATTCTTTTTGCTGTTGTTAGGCAGCCTGCCTAAGTTAGACTATTTTTTTTTGTCCCCCCCCTAATATTTTTTTTCAGGATTCTTCCCCCTTTAAAATGTTAAGCTCTGTGTGTGTGTGTGTGTGTGTGTGTGTGTGTGTACACATATGCGTGGTCCTTTCTCTGCCTGCCTGCCTTTTTTTAAAACATTCTTAATTAATTAATTTAATGTGTATTTATTCTGTTAAAGATATAGATTTTGGTGGTGGTTTGGTGACTCATTTGTTTCTGTTGGCTGTGTGACCTGGGGGTGGTGGGTGGACTATGTAACTGTGCCAGTGTGCCACTGGGTTGTGTGGATGCTGTCGGTTGAGCACAGCTTGGGGCATTTGTCATTCGTAGTGTTGTGTTGTCTTTGTTTTGGTGAGTGAGTGTCACTGCGTGCTAGGCAGCTAGCACCCGGCTGGCTTTGAAGTCATACTGTTCTTTTGAATGTGGTGATAGAAACTAGTGCCTGTACAGATAACTTTAAAAATAATGTTCATTCTCATGTACTTTGCTTGTTTTTGAGTAGACTGGTTCTCTGTTGCCCTGCCTCTGGTTTTCAGAGCATTTTAAAGGGTTCTTTAGGGCAGTGGTTCTTAACCTTTGTTACTCGGATGTTTTTGAACTACAACTCCCAGAAACCCCAGTCATTTCTCTGTTGCCCTTCCTCTGGTTTTCAGAACATTTTAAAGGGTTCATTAGGGCTTCTGGTGTGCCAGAAAACCCAAATGGGGAAACACAGCATGAACAACCTGAAAGTAGCTTTCCCTTGTTGTGTAAAGGGAAAGTGCATTATAAAAGCACACACAAAAATATTAAAATTGAAAGAGTTGCCCCCCAAAGAACCCAACCTTAAATACGAAAATTTTCTTCATTCATATCTATACGTGTTATCTTTCTCTTGCACGTGCAAGATGCCTTCCCACCAACAGACAAGCAATCATGCCAATTCCCCTATTCCTCTAATACCAGCAACATTTTCTTTCTTCTCCTCTTGCTTTAACAACAGTTACATGCAATAACAAAATGAAAGACCAACAGTGGGTTAAATTGTTACCCTCTTATTGTTGTTGTTGGGAGTTCTGCCTAAGAATTTTCCCCTTCCTGATATACGGCTATGAGTGCTGGTATTTCAGTACCCAACGCAGCACCAGGGAGGCGACATCTAGCTGTGAGGTTTGCAGAGATGGAAACCGAGGACCCAAGCAGTCGACTGAATGTGCTCAAAGAATTCAGATTGCTTACTGGGAAGGGCCAAAGTTTAGAAGAGTCCCGTTATTGACTGCAACTCTGCAAATTCCCCACCCAGCATGGCCACCAACTTTCTGAAGCTCAAATAGAAATGGGAATTTCAGCATCCACCAAGCTTACCTAAACAGGAGCATTTTGTCTTGCTAGAGGTTTTTTTTTGGTGTGGGGGGGTCCGGTAGTGCTTTCAAAAGTTACCTCGTAGTACATTTCCTATTAATTTTCTATTATGTCTATTAAAGCAGCTTCTTCTCCAAAGTACTGTAAAAAGAGGTTGCCTGTAATGGTAGTTTTATGATGGAACTGCTGTTGGGTAGTTCCGGACACTGGATCTTAAGAAGTACAGTATAGGTGTAAAGCAGTGAAATGAAAGTTATGAAGAAGTTAGAACAGGAGAAAAGTCAAAGGTGCCAAAGCTTGGGGAAAAAAGGAAAATAAGAAGGAAAATAAAGGATATATAAAATTATGCATACTAGGAAAAAGTCAATAGGGAGCCATTTCTTTTCCTCTTTCATCCCAGGTATTATAATGCAGTTGAGGGATATTCAGGACTGGATCCTGATACTACGTCTAATTACTTCTTCACACAACACATAGTTATATTTATTAAATTTGCTCCCATATAATTATAAATTATAGTGACATCCACTTGAAAAGGAAATGACACAAACTCATGGTGGCTAAGATTATCAAATGGCTACTGGTGATGATCCCTATCATTTGTATCAGGATGTGGGATTGGTGAGGGTTCCCCTGGCCGCGAGAGTGGGCTCTCTCCTTCTCGGAGAGCAATGGTTGGATTCCCTACCCGCAGTGCACCTGTGGACTGGGGCATTGGTGAGGGAAGAGGCCAACAATGCTCCTGAGGCCATGGGTGTAGCCCTGGTGGGACTTGCGTTGAAAGAGGAGGGGGGACAGGAAAGGATGATTGTTGAGTGGACACCATGGACTTGGAGGCATGTGAGGCCCAGGAGGAGCTGCTGCTGCCAGGAAGGTCGGTCAACAGCTGGACGAGAGACGGTTCACAGCTGTGAACCCAAGACGGGTTCCTGGGTTGTGTTGCTCGTGCCACCAGGCCAAGGACTGAGAGGCACAGAGGCTCAAGAACCAGCGTCAAGCCCGCTGCCAGCAAAAGAAGCAGCAAGAGCAGGTGGCCACATTGGAGAAACCCCATGGTCAGCCTAATGGTCTCCAGAAGGTCAGCCTCCTGCTCCTCTCTGCTCTATGCCCTGCAACATGGGAGAGACCAGCCAGGCCCATATAGAGTTCAGCTGTGCTCCTCGGGAGGAATACCGCACCTACAGGCTGCCAGCAGGAACTACGGAGGGGTGGTGGAGTAAGGAGCTTTTGCCCCCTGCCTCCAGGGGCAACTGACAGCATGCGTCCGAGACCCTTGTTGTGGCAACCAGTGCCTGGCCCACCTGTCAGGGTTCCTAGATCTGGGAGAGGAGGCAGGGCTTCACTCCTCCCAGTAATAGACTATTTCAAAGACTGTGGGAGTGAAGCTGACTCCCTGCCCTAAATTCAAAGGTCAGCATAGGCATTTGCTGTTGCGCACCAAGTCATGTGACCCAGCACACAGCAGGACATGGCTTCACTGATTTGGGGCAATTTGCTGCTGAAGCGCACCCATTGTAAATATACTGGTAAACTGTAAACTTCAATTGTGATAGGACTTCCAGCTGTTGAGTCTAATCACTGGTCTATCTAGCATGGCTTTTTCATAATTTATTTTTTGCATTGTTATGCTACCTTTCTCCAAGTGAAGGGACTCAAAGTAGAGAACAGAGCATTAAAAGAGATAACTTCTCACGGAAGCCCCCACACGGGTCTTCTATTGGGAGCATTTTGTAGCAGTCTCAGGACTTTTGACAGGCAAAATATGGGCTGTACCAGAGAGGCATGTCCCTTCCTAGCCCAGCTTCTTAGACCTCTGACTGCTCTGTTCATTATTTTGAAGCACACAATCAACTGACACCAGAATCCTATGAGTCCAAAAACATCTGCAAAGTAATGTTCCAGTTTTTCACATTTGGTCGGAGCCTCTCGATGACCCCAATCTTTGGAGGTTTTGGGAGCCTCTCACTGGGGGAGGGGATGCCAAGAAGCCCCAGACGTGGCAACAATGAATGCACCTGAGCTTTTATATACTTGGATCTCTTTTTTTAAACATCAAAATGACTATGTGGAATGAGTTATTAAACCAATCAACAAAAAGCTTCTTCATGTCTTTTTTATTATTATTTCTTTTGTATTGTGGAGGTCTCAGTTGAAAGATATAGTGAATGTAAAGTAAACAAAGTGACTGTGGAAAAGAAAGTTACATGAATCTGAACATAGTTTTATGTACATAGATGTTGCCTTTTCTTTTTTACATTATTTATAGGGATGCTAACCGCATTGTCAACAGGTTAAAGAGGTTGCAATATTCCCAACGCAGTCTTTGTTCAAACCAGGTATGGAGAGAGTACAGCTCTTCACAGGATTTTGGATTGCAGCTTCCATCATCCTTCACCACTGACTGGCCAGGCTGGCTATGGCTGATGGATGTTGAAGTCCAACAACCCCGGAGGGCCCTATGATCCCCATCCCATATAGTCTCCACCATATAGTAACCATTTGAAACCTCAAAAGGCTGACCTCTGCAACCAATTGCTCAGTGATATGAAGAAATGAGGCCATATGAACTCACTTCACCACTTCCTATAGAAAATAACTCTGGTTAGTGGAAGGAGCAAGATACAATAGTAGCAAAGGCAATATTCACATGTACCAGCACCTTCCAAATTACTTCTAATGGTACAGAATACAAGGTATCATCTCTTGAGAACTTGCAAGCAAGGCCTGCATGGCACAGATCTGCAGAAACACACCGTGGCCAGACCGTTTCTTTGTATGATCAAATATGTACAACTATGTAAAATGAGTATTTACATCACACAACAGAACAATGGGGGTTTGCTTGCTTGCTTGTTTTTTAGAACATAGGCATGAACTGTACTGAAAGCAGATAACTATGCAGTACATTAAGACGAAGTAATACTATACTTTGAAGACTCTACCTTTTTGCCCATTTTCCCTTTTTCTCTTTGTTTGGGCAAATTTAAATTACGTCCTTTTTTTCTTCTCCCTCAACCATTTGACCAATGTCTTGAATCAACAGGCACCTCTGGCATGGGACACTTTGTGTGCTCCTCTTCACTCCTAGATGGCATGCTGTAATTGTGATGCTCTGCTACTGGGAGTTGACCTGTGACACGTGATGGTTCAGTGCAAAGACAGTCCTACCTTAGTTAAAGGATTTAGACATATCTCTTGGACTAAGACTGTGTGTGTATGTGTGCTTGTGTGCGCGTGCGCGTATTTGTGTCTATGTTTGGATTTAGTGATCGGCATAAAAAAATAATGCTTTGGGGGTTTCTTAAAATAAACTGTAGGCACAAGAGGATCTGCCCCTGGCCAATAGAAGGCATAGGCTTGCTTAAAAACAACAACACAGGGCCAACCTGAAATCGGGAAGTGGTGAAAGACTCTGCCAGATGATGTCACATTGGTTCCATGCATGACCTAGAAGTGCAGCATGCCTTCATGCAAATTGCATCTCTGTCCGTAGGTTATAGAATCAGAGAGGAGAACAGCTGGTCCTGGTCACCCTAACCCTTCCCTCCCACCACAACAGAAAACCCGTTTACAAAAATAGTCACATATAATAATACCCTGCGAGTTTTTAAAAAATGATAAATTCACCTACACTGTGTGTGTGCGTGTGTGTGTGTATATATAAATATGGCAAATGTGGTAGTTGAAATACACACAGTGAAAACACTTACTGAACTAAGTGTCTTGCGATATACTAAACACACAGGTTAGAGTGTTGCGCACCTTACTCTAAGCAGCCACGTCATCTCTCTCTTTCACATCGTCAGCTGTAATGAGAACGGTAGGCTTTACAGTCTGGTGGCAAGGGGTCACTGTCTTCTTATAGGCACTGACCTTTAGAGAGATTTATATATATATAACCTGTAATATATTTATAAAGTAAAAACGGACAGTTTGGCATGAATCTCCCATCGGAGTCTTGCTGACAAATACACCCCTTTCAAAGGCTGTAAACAGATTTTGCACACAGAAAATAAACCCAACAGTCTGTTTCACTTTTTATTCACCCTGTTATCTTTACCTTTGTAGTCTCTGTCTGTTTTGCCCTTTTCATATTTTTCTTTGTCTGGCTTTGTAACACTATCATAGGAGGGCGGGGAAGTGGTGGAGGAGCTCTCATCTGTCTTCTCTGGAGTGGAGTTCCCATTAAACTTATCCGTAATAACATCTTTGATGGGCAAGGCATCACCGTCTTTGCATTTATCTTTATTATACAGAGAGGTCACTTTTTTAACTTTTTGTTTCAAGAGGTAACGCCTGAATGCCCGCTGGATGATAGTAGCAGACACCTCCTCCTGCTTTCGTTTCAGCGTAGTGGTAATGGGCTCGTAGGAGACCTTTGACGGATTGGCTGCCATGAAACGATCCTCCATTTGAACTCTGAGTAAATCCATTTCTTCGCTATCTCCCAAAACGCGCTTTGTAAAGGCAAACAAGATGTCAAGGCAGTGAATTCTGTCCCCGCTTACCATGGGCAGATCCATTGCAATAAGCTGAACATGGTTTGGTTTTGGAATCAGAAGGGGAGGATCCAGGGAAGCAGCAAAATCAGAGAGTTTACTATATTCTATGAACTGGGATGCATCTGGGTCAAATTTTTCCCAGACCTCATAGAACATCTCAAAGTCATCCTCACTCAAAGGTTCCGCGCTTTCTTCTGTAGCAACACTGAAGTTCTCCAGAATAACAGCAATATACATATTTACTACGACTAAGAAAGAAATGATGATGTAGCTGACAAAGAAGAAGATCCCAACGGAAGGGTTGCCGCAGTCTCCCTTGACCGAGCTCCCCGGGTGGTCTATCTCAGGGTCGCAGTCTGGGGGTCCACTGTTGAGAATGGGGGCGAGCAAGCCATCCCAGCCTGCGGAGGTGGTGATTTGAAAGAGGCAGAGCATGCTGTTGCCAAAAGTTTCAAAGTTGAACATGTCATCTATCCCAACTTCTCTCTTCACGTAGGCAAAATTGGACATTCCGAAGATAGCGTAGATGAACATGACCAGGAAAAGGAGGAGCCCAATGTTGAACAAGGCAGGAAGGGACATCATCAAGGCAAAAAGCAGGGTGCGGATCCCTTTAGCACCCTTGATCAGACGCAGGATCCGGCCTATCCTGGCAAGGCGGATCACTCGGAACAAGGTGGGTGACACAAAGTATTTCTCAATGATCTCTGCCAGGAACATGCCTGCAAAAAGAAAGAAAGAAAGAAAGAAAGAAAGAAAGAAAGAAAGAAAGAAAGAAAGAAAGAAAGAAAGAAAGAAAGAAAGAAAGAAAGAAAGAAAGAAAGAAAGAAAGAAATACAACACTAGTTTCTCTTTTTTTGAATTATGATTTGAACATTAAACTGCAAGAAATATAAAGTAAAATGGTTTCTTTTCTAAGTTTTCTTGCACATTCTGATATTAGTCAGGGGACAAAAGCCATTGCAAGAACAGTCTGTAGATGTGATTTCACAAGCAGGAAACTTGAGAAAGAAAAACACATTTTTGGTTAATCTGCAATTATGTTAAGAAATTTTAAAGCAACAGATTTAGATACAGTAAAACCTTATCACTCTCTGAATTATAATGTTTAATAAAATGCTCAAGCAAATTCATTTAATAATCATAGTAATTGTGTGCCATTAAGTCAATTCTGACCTATGGCAACTCTTTCCAGGGTTTCCCAGGTAGACAGTATTAAGAAGTGGTTTACCATTCCCTTCTTCTGGGGGTGCCCAGGCTGGCTTTTTCAGAAGGCACAGTGGGGAACTGAATTTTGAACCTTTGGCTCTATAGCTAGATACCTAAACCACTGTGTCACCCAGCCAGCAAATTGATTCGTACAGTCATGGCCAAAAATATTGGCACCCTTGCAGTTCTGTCAAAAAATGCAACGCTTCTCTCTGAAAATTGTTGCAGTTGCAAATGTTTTCGTACTGACATGTTCATTTCTTTGGTGTGCATTGGAACATACACACACACACAAACCAGAGAGGAAAAGTACAATCCTACACAGAAACCCAAAAATGCTCTTCCCAAAATTCCCGGCACCCTGTCTAAATTGTAAGAAATAATTGCTCTTCAAGCAAGTGATGATCCTTTAATTTGTATTTAGATGCACCTGTCGCAACTAAGAGGTGTAGGCAATATACAGTAGTAATCACACTTGCAACCACTTAAGGTGGAGAAAAGCTGACTCAACCTTTGTGTTGTGTGTGAGACACTGAGCATGGAGAAAAGAACAGTGGACACAGGAACATTAAGCTCTCTGGAGATGGACTTGTAGCCTTGAGATTGACGATGTTTCCCCCATTTTTTCCTCTCAAATCCACAGACAACTCTTGAGTCTGTGGATTTGAGAGGAAAAAAATGGGGAAAACATCTTCAATCTCAAGGCTACAAGTCCATCTCCAGAGAGCTTAATGTTCCTGTGTCCACTGTGCACTATATCATCAAGAGGTTTACAATCTATGATACTCTAGCTAACCTCCCTCGACATGGTCAGAAGAGCAAATCATTGAAAAATTACAACAAATTATTGTTTGAATGGTGGATACAGAACCCAGATTAACTTCCAAACAAATTCAAGCTGATCTGCAGACACAGGGTATAACAGTGTCAGCTCGCACTGTCCGTCGCCATCTGAATGAAAAGGGACGCTATGGTAGGAGACCCAAGAGGACACCATTGCTGACACAAAAAAGCAAGACTGGAGTATGCCAAAACTTATGTGACAAAACCACAATCCTTCTGGGAGAACATACTGAGGACAAATGAGAGCTTTTTGCTAAAGGACATCATGACAATGTTTACAGAAAAAGAAATGAGACATTCAAAGAAAAGAACACAGTCCCTACAGTCAAACATGGTGGAAGTTCAAACATGTTCTGGAGTTGCTTTGTTGCTTCTGGCACCGGGTGTCTTGATTGTGTGAATGGTATCATGAAATCTGATGATTACAAAATAATTTTGTGGCACAACGTAGTGGCCAGTGTCAGAAAGCTGCATCTCCACCAGAAGTCATGGGTCTACTAGCAGGACAATGACCCGAAACGCACTTCAAAAAGCATTCAGAAATGGTTATAAGCAAAGTGCTGGAATGGCCAGCAATGAGTCCAGATCTGAATCCCATAGAACACCTGTGGAGACATCTCAAAACAGCTGTTGGGAGAAGGCATCCTTCGAATCTGAAGGCCCTGGAGCAGTGTGCAAAGGAAGAATGGTCCCAAATTCCAGTAGAGAGGATTAAAACCTCATTCAAGGTTACAGGTAGCTATTGATTTCAGTTATTTTTTCCAAAGGGGGTGCTACCAAATATTAAGTTATGGGTGCCAATAATTTTGGCCAGTGCATTTTTGGGCTTCAGTGTGGGATTGTACCAGATTTGACTTTTCATCTCTGTTTTTTTGTGTTGTTCCAACACAAACAAACAAAAATGAACATGTGAGTACCAAAACATTTGCAACTGCAGCAATTTTTGGGGAGAAGGGTTGTATTTTCTGACAGAATTGCAAAGGTGCCAATACTTTTGGCCATGACTGTATGACTGTAAATCAGATTGTTAATAAGATATATGAGAATGCACATTTGTGTTCTTTCTAGCACTTCTTTCCTTAGGGATTCATGACAGATTTCTTCCACTGAGATTACTAATGGGTAGGTACAAAAAAAAAGCTTCATATTATCATGAGTACTTAACAGATATGTGTACATTTTGTAACTTGTTAGCACAAGGTATCACTACCCGTCATGACTTCCCATTGTGTTTACACTGTGAGATGTACAGAAGTGCATTAATCACACAGGTATTATGTATGGTGTAAATTCCTTCCGCATTGGAACAGAACATCTCTCTATGAAAATCCTGCTTCCAACATGGTTTGACAGGGGCCAGATATGACTGTGGTTGAGTGATGTATGTAGACCTATTTTTCCTCCAAGCTGTCTTTGCTGCTGAAGTAAAATACTACAGGAGCACCTCAAACATGCTTCCATGAATAATACTGAAGTTGGTCCATTTTATTATACAGTGGTGCCTCGCTTTACGATTGCTCTGCATCACAACAAAACCGCATTATGATGATCTTTTTGCGATCGCAAACAATGGTCTGAATGGGTTTTTTTCTCTTTGCGATGATCAGTTCCTTGCTTCGGGAACTGATTCTTCGCAAAACAACGATTTTCCTCCAGCTGATCGGCGGTTTCAAAATGGCCACCGGGTAAATAAAATGGCTCCCCGCTGTGTTTTTGGATGGATTCTTCGCAAGACAGCCAGCGAAAATGGCCGCCCTATGGAGGATCTTTGCTGGACAGTGAGTTTCAAGCCCATTGGAATGCATTGAAGGGGCTTCAATGGGCTTTTTATTTTTGCATTACGTTTTCGTGCTACAGTGATTTCGAATTAACAAATTAACGTAATGCGAGGCAGCACTGTACTATTTTTAAAGGATTCCACACATGGCGCCGGTTTGCCTCTGCATTAGCACAAAGCCTATAGCAGGGGAAGCTCTTGCACAGAAGCACTGTTTTAAAGGGTGTGTTTTGTTTTGATAAAAAGATTCTGTGTGAAATCATCTTTTAATATTACAGGCATGTGAAAAAGAAAGTACACCGTCATTGAATTACAGTGGTGCCTCGTTTAACGAGCGCACCGTTTAACGACGAATTCGCATAGCGATCTATTTTTTTAGATCGCTAATGCGATTGCATTGCAATGTTCTGAATAGGCAAAACATCGCATTGCGATGATCGGTAAACGTTTCACTTACTGATCTTCGCATTGCGATGTTTTTTTAAACAGCTGATTGGCGTTTCCAAAATGGCCACCGGGTGCCCGAAATGGCTGCTGCAAGTGTTTTTGCGCCCTGCCCTTGCTTACCGAGGCCGCGAAAATGGCGGCGCTATGGAGGAACATCGCTGAACAGTGAGTTTGGGAGCCATAGGAATGCATTAAACCAAGTTTAATGCGTTCCTATGGCTTTTTCCGTTCTGTTTAGCGATCTTTCTGCATAGGGACGATTAATCCGGAACGGATTAACGTCGCTATGCGGGGCACCACTGTATATGGTTTTATGTCATCAGGACATATAAAAATCATCCCGTCTTTAGCAAGTCTGAAAATTAGGTAAATACAACCTCAGATGAACAACAACACATGACATACTGTGTCATGATTTATTTTAAAGAAATAAAGCCAAAATGGAGAAGCCACGTGTGAAAAACTAAGTACATACACCGTATGATTCAACAGCTTGTAGAATCACCTTCAGCAGCAATAAGTAACTGTAACTTATTGTTACTGTAACAATAATTAACTGTAACAATAAGTAACTGTAACTAAGTAATCATTTTCTGTATGACTTTATCAGTCTCTCACAGTGCTGTGGAGGAATTTTGGCCCACTCTTCTTTACAACGTTGCTTCATTTCATTGAGAAGGCATTTCTTTATGTACATTGGGTTGAGGTCTGGACTTTGACTGGGCCATTGCAACACCTTGATTCTTTCCTTTTTCAGCCGTTCTGTTGCAGATTTGCTGGTATGCTTGGGATCACTGTCCTGTTGCATGACCAAATTTCTGCCAAGTTTCATCAGCTGTTGGACAGATGGCCTCACATTTGACTCTAGGATACTTCAGGGTACAGAGGAGTTCATGGTCAACTCAATGACTGCAAGGTGCCCAGATCCTGGGGCTGCAAAACAAGCCCAAATCATCACCCCTCCAACACTGTGCTTGACAGTTCATAGGAAGTGTTTCTGCTGATATGCTGTGTTTGGTTTTTGCCAAAATTGCCAGACATAGCACTGTGCATTATGGCCAAACATCTCCACTTTGTTCTTGTCTGTCCAAAGGACACTGTTCCTGAAGTCTTGTGGTTTGTCCAGATGTACCTCTGGAAACCTAAGCCATGCTGTCATGTTCTTTTTAGAGAAAAGAGGCTTTCTCCTGGCAACCCTTCCAAACAAACCATAGTTGTTCAGTCTTTTTCTAATTATACTGTCATGAACGTTACCATTTGATGTGCTAACTGAGGTCTATAGAGTCTGAGATGTAACTCTTGCATTTTTTGCAATTTCTCTGAGCATTGCACGGTCTGTCCTTGGGGTGAATTTGCTTAGACATCCACTCCTGAGAAGACTGGCAACTGTCTTGAATATTTTCCACTTGCAAATAATCTCCCTCACTGCAGAATGATGAACTTTAAATAGTTTGGAAATTGCCTTCTAACTCTTCCAGACTGATGGACACCAACAATTGCTTCTCTATAATCATTGCTGATGTGTTTCTTCCTTGGCATTGTGTTAGCACACACCTGAATGCTCCAACCAGTAAACTGCTAAAACTTCCGTTTTTATAGAGGTGGTCACATCTGTTGATGATCAATTACTTGGACATTTGGTTAGCAGCACCTGGCTGCTATTTAGTCTTCTAATTCATATGGAACAAATAAGGGTGTACTTAGTTTTTCCACACATGGCTTCTTCATTTTGGCTATATTTTTGTAAAATAGATCATGACACAGTGTAATATGTCATGTTCATCTGAGGTTATATTTAACTAATTTTCAGGCCTCCTAAGGACCAGATGATTTTTATTGTGATACATAAAACTACAGCATTCAAAGAGGGTGTACTGTACTTTCTTTTTTATATGGCTGTAGATAACATTTTACACAGATTATGTCAATACCTCTATGCGAGTCAGTAAAGATGTTGTGTCACATGATACATGCTACAAAGTCCAGATGGTCTAAATCTTAATGTAAGGCCAGACAATTAGACAACCACAGCTTAGTATCTTCAAACTGCAGGTACCAGAGAAGCTTTGAATTCCTGTATGACCTTATAAAAATAGGTGAGATAATTTTTCTGAGTGGATCAGGCTAAATCAACCAAAACTAGTGTTCCAGATCAACCAAAAAAAGTGTGCTTCCATAAGGAAAATACTTGCATATACCCTTCTGGATATGAGATATTTAACAGAATTCCAATTTGCAAAAGACAGGACAGCCTGTGATAAAAAATTGCCACTTGCATCACAATGCAGATGGGAAGAGGCACTGCCAACCACTGGGCATGAAGATGAGCCAATTCACATGCCATGCCAGGCCATCTATTCTCTCTCTCTCCACCTTCCCCTCATGCTCCTTAATTCACTCACCCTCTGTTTAACACCATGATTTGCTGTTACAATCAAACTCATTTGCAAATGTGGGTTGGAGAACAAGTGCAAACTGAAGTTTGCTGATCAAAGATCAAAGAATGCTCCACCCTAGGTTAAGTGAGAAGACTGGAATGCGTGATGGGAGGAAGAAGAGAAAAAAGAAAACATCCAGCCCTTAAATTTGCTCAGATCTACCACGTTTCCCCAAAAATAAACCAGGGTCTTATATTAATTTTCGCTCGAAAAAAGCAGTAGGGCTTATTTTCAGGGGATGTTTTATTTTTTGTTTATTTTTTGTTTCATGTACATTAATCTACGTTTATTCAGATACAGTCCTGTCATCTTCTTCTGGTTGCTGCACAAGGGTGGAGGATGGGGTTTCACTTAACTGGGGTTTATTTTTGGGGTAGGGCTTATATTACGAGCATCCTGAAAAATCCTACTAGGGCTTATTTTCAGGTTAGGTCTTATTTTCAGAGAAACAGGGTAGATTATAAATATCTATAAAATCACACTGTAATCCCCATTCATTCTTGGAAACAAATGGTTCTCACCTACAATAGAGAGAATGACAACTACAAAATCAAAAATGTTCCAGCCAATGGTGAAATAATAATGACGGAGTGATATCAGCTTGAGTACACATTCGCCGGTAAAAAGGACAATGAAGACAAGGTTAATCCTGGACAAAATGGTTTCCATTTCTTTACTTTGGTCATCTGTTTCCACCATCATGGTGACCATATTAAGGCAGATAAGAATCATGATGCTGATGTCAAAGGCCTGCTTTGTAACAAAATCGAAGACCAAGCCTTGGAATTTGTTCTGTAAAAACGAAAGTTAAAAACATTAATAACATAAATGAAACTCTTTGTTAGCAGATTCATAACATTTTTTAAAAAATGTGAACACACTCTGAAGATGTAAAATTGAAAGAAATTCATACCCCTGGTCTAGGTATAGGTTTTTGTGGCTTTTTAGAGCCTAATTTTTTCATTGCATTGTAATATTTCTTCTGTTCCTCTGTCATAAAGATGTCTTGTCCTCCAAAGTAAAGAAAAGAAAAAAGGAATAGTTATAATCATGTTACAAGTTCATCTAGATTTTCATCTTAGCATACTCTGCTAATAGTACCATACATTGCTGGGCAAATTTTGGTATCAGCAATGAACATGGAGCATATTATTCTGATATTACACCATTTCTGTTTCCAGAACAATTTCATGGTGTTGGTCTTGATTTTGAAAGTCCTAATATCCTGGGGCCAGGATATCTTAACGGTGATCTCTACATACTGTATATGTTCCTATATCAGAGGATGGTCACTCTCTCCCCTTGCCATGTGAGTAATGCCAGAAGATAGACCGGACACGTCTTTCTCAGATGTTGGACCCGTGTTGTGCAATGCTCATCTGAGAGACCCCTGTGAAGGCCCCTTTCTGCTGGCCTGTAAATATATGACACTTACATGGTACATTTAGCGGTCTGGTAGCAGAGAAAACTTGTAGAAACATTACCTGTGTTTCTACATTTCATACATTCCCCATAGTGTTAAGGTTCAGCCTTAAGATGTTTCCATGTCTTTGGGGGATGACTGTTAAGCAGCTCATGAAAATAATCTAACACAAATGTATGACAATTAATTCCTGTGGTTTCTTTATTTGTGCCTCTCTTAGGAAATCAGTACAATTTTTAATGTTACTTTCAGTATCCTGCCTGATCATTTTGGTTTTTTAAAAAATTGTAACTGACTTGGTTAGTTTCAGAAAAGCAGTACTGAATACTATGAATAATGTGTGATACAAATGATAATAATAATGATAATAATACAAATGATGAGCCTCGTGGCGCAGTGGTTAAAACGCTGTACTGCAGCTAAAACTGTGCTCACGACCTGGGGTTCAAATCCCAGGTAGCCGGCTCAAGGTCGACTCAGCCTTTCATCCTTCCAAGGTCGGTAAAATGAGTACCCAGCTTGCTGGGGGGGGGGGCAATGTGTAGCCTGTATAATTAAATTATAAACTGCCCGGAGAGTGCTTGTAGCGCTATGGGGCGGTATATAAGTCCAATAAATAAATAAATACTGAGGCATAGATGGGCTAGAATCGCTAGGTACAATATTTTACTATTCAAAAATACCAGGCATAGTCAATCAAAAGTAAAAACAGTGATTGGTAACATACACATTTTAACCAAAAACCTAAGTATCTGTTAAATATCGGTGCAGTATGTATGCTGTTCCTAATATTGCTGTGGGGTTTGTTTTTTTTGTTTTTTTGGTAGCTCTGTGTTATTTCTAAGATCTGCAACTGGTTATAATACTGTGTGAAATTTCTTGATATTGTTCACAAATCACCAATGACTACGGGGACCACTGAAGTGTGTTAGGTCTTTAAGAAGAAATGTAATTAACAATTGGTCATTGCAGGTGGAGTTATTTAGTCACTGCCTATGTGACAAGAAGGACACAACTGTGTGGAATTAACTACCATGAGGTGAACCACTAATTTGATTGGTTGGAAGTAGTATAAATTAAGATTAATGTGCCCTTTACAGTTCTATTTTGATTGTCATGCTTATTTTCTGTCCATTTGACTGCTGAATGCCTATGTTTATGTTCCTGTGAGCACTATGTAAATATGTACAGCAAGTAAATATTCTCTGTACTTATTCATGGTGTCTTCCTGTGTGCCTTTCTACGCTGGAGCTCCTGGTCCAAACCTTTGTAAGGAGAAAATCTTCCGCTGTGATTTTAAACTGCTAACAAAGTGTGTTTCATCCATAAGCAAGGTGTTTCAATTGTCAGATCTCTGCATTTTGAAAGTTTTTTGAATTCTTTATCTTCAGCTCTGGCATCTTATGGAATTACAATGACAATGATACAGACATTTCTTTGTCCTATTACAACTATGACTGGTGTGTTACGTTCAAGGTGCCTATTGGTTTGGATCTGGAAATCCCATAAGATTTTGATTTTGTCATTTTTTGACATTGTCACTACCTGATGTTCCCATGGGTTTCTGGAGGCTGGCAAGTTATATTTTTTGCATTGTGACTAGTACAGTGGTGCCTCGACTTATGAATGTCCCTACTTATGACCATTTCAAGTTACGACCAGCTCCGGCCACAAAATTTTGCTTCTACTTGCAACCGGAGCTTCGAGTTATGAACAGAAAAAAAGGCAGGGGAAAAGGCAGGAAATTCAAATTGCTAACTGTAGGTGGCGACGAGGCTGCTGCTTTGTAGCTCTTTTGCCCCAGTGTGTGATTGGAGGAGGCTGCCTGGGTAAGGTAAAGTACTGTTTTCTGCTTTTTAAAAACTTTTCTGGGTGTTTTTGAAGCATGGTTTTGGGCTGGGTGTTGTTTCTGTGCTGTGATGGGTCCTGGGGGGTTTGTTTTGTTTTTTTGTTCCCCCTATTTCCGATAGGCCTTGGGGGGTTTGGTTGCTTTTTGGAGCTTTTCCCCCATTGCCGATGGGTCTTGGGGGTTTGTTTGTTTGTTAGTGCTTTGCTCTTTCCCCATTTCCGATCTGTCTTGCATGCTTTGCTTGCTTTTTGCATTGCTCTTTCCCCATTTCTGATCTGTCTTGCATGCTTTGTTTGCTTTTTGCATTGCTTTTTCCCCATTTCCATCTGTCTTGCATGCTCTGCTTGCTTTTCTTCAAACACACACCCCTTCATCCAGAAGGGATTAATCACGTTTCCGATGGGTCTTGCAGTGATTTTTTGGGGGAGGGGATTTTTTTTCTTCAGCCAGAATTGATTAATTGTATTTCAATGGGAAATGGTGCTTCGACTTACGACCATTTCAACTTACACCCATCTACCAGAATGGATTAAGTTTGTAAGTCAAGGCACCGCTGTACCTAGCTGGTCATTCTTCAGTCATCCTGTGTTAGTGAACTAACTTTTCTGCTCAGTATTCATACAGTAGTTGTAACATCATGTCTGGAAGTGGTAGGTACAGGACTTTTCCTATAGCTGTTCTGTACAGTACTTGCTATAGTTTAGCAGATGTCCACTCTCCTCCTCTTTGCTTTTCAAAAAGTTTAAGGGCTGTCATAGTTGGATGTCTTAGAGACCTAGCGTCTGCCCATGTCCTATGATCTGTTGTCTCTGGTTGAGAAGATAAGATCCATCCACTTCCTTCTCAGTATTATTGCCTAAATAGTAGGTTGCATTGCCTAATTCTTTTATTCCCACTTCTTTGCCCACAAGGTATGCAGCTTATTTAAATCCATTTCGGCTTCTCTTTAGTTTGCATACTAGGTCTAGTTGCTTCTGGTTGATGAAGCCTGGCGGTTGCACAGCTCCTTTGAAATATTTCCATGTACAGATGCAGTTTTGATGTCCAGATGTTGCATCTGGACAGAGAAAGCCTCACTTAGGAACATTCTTACGGTCTCTGGACATGAAAACAAGGATGAATCCTTTCTCCACACCTTCTAGCACTCCACTTTCTCTTTTGTTCCCTCTTTCACTTGCATCCAATGGCTGTCTTGCCTGGTGGTACCTTAGTGTGGGTCCACATCTCATTCTTATGCAGCGCTTCTATCTATTCTTTATCTCCTTACCTCTGCTTATTTCCATCTAGCAGCTTCAGCAGCTGGAATCTGATCCATCTTGTCCAAGTGACTAGGCCAGTAAGTAGCATCAATCTTGCAAGATAAGACAGGTGCGAAGCTGGTACACTTTTAGTGGGTCACGATGAGTATCTGAGAGCTGGCTGTAGAACTTGGTGGACCATCAGGGATTCTTCCAGCCCAACAGTCACAACATGTCCATCTCCGATCTCTTATCTTGGTGTATTGCTCTATCCCTCTGTGTCATCTTCTTCCTACTCTGTTTCTGAGGCAACTTGTGAAGGCCTTGCCTCTGTTATATCTTGGAAGAACTCCAGGTACTGTCCTTATTTTGATTTTAAGATTTTCTGAAATCTTTTGATATATTCCCTTTCTGTCAGTTCTTTAACTTCTGTGTGCAGGATATTATCTGTTTCTAGTATTCCAAGGTATCTATACTTTCCATCACTTGATAGTGATTTTATAATATCGCCCTTTTTTGCATATGGTTTTAGGCCATCCATGTATAACAGATGATTGATTTTTCCTGCTTGCTCTGAAATATGGTAGCCTAATCCAGTTTTATTTAAAATGATTGAGATGGGTATGAGTCAGAAGTTAAACAGCAGTTGACATGGGTATGAGTCAGAAGTTAAACAGCAGTGAGAAAGAATCCCTTTGAAATATTCCTCTTTTGATGCTAACATCCCCAGTGTCTTCACCATGGGCCATTAAGGCAGTTTTCCATTTTTCCATGTTTTTCTTGAGAAACTTCTGAATATTTTAAATAATTCCAAAAAATGTTAGGCAGGTGTAATCCAGTTGTGTGGCAATGAGTCAAATGCCTTTTTAAAGTCTATTCAGGCCATGTTAAGATTTGTTTTTCATCTTTTTGCATTCTTTAGTATCATTTCATCAATAAGCAGTTGATCTTTCATTACTCTTGACTTTTTAGTTCTCTTTTTGTTCAGTGGGATATAAGGTGTATTCAATTAAATAATTATATATTGATTTTGCAACTATTCCTGAGAGGAACTTGAAGATTAATTGCTGGGTTCATTGCCCCTTTGATTATCTTTTATTATAATAAATGTGCAGCCTGTTGTCCTCCAATCTTCAATTGTAATATCTTGAAGGAAGTGATTAAATTGCACTGCTATACATAAATGGAGACTTGTTAAATGCTTTAACCAAAATCTGTGCAGCTCATCTGTACCAGGTGCACTCCAATTTTTCACAGCCTTTATTTGGCTCTAAATCATTTCAGTTGGTATTACAGTATCATCTGTATGTTTTCTTTCAGTTTCTTTACAAATGTCTTTAATCCATGAGCTGTTCCTGTTATGTCTGGTTGGGCTTTCCCAATTTCCCCCCCCTCCAAAAAAATTTTTTAGAGCATCATCTTTACGTGGGCCTAATTTCTTTTGCTCTTCATTTTCTCCTAGTGATTTATAGAATAATTGTTGGTTATTTTGAAGCTGTGTGTTTTCTCTATATGATTTCAAGCCACTGTCATATCTGTCATATCTTTACTTTGCTGTGGCTGTTACCCATTATTTTATTTTTTTCATAGTTTCAACAATTTACTTTCTAGGTCATATATTTTGCACAGTCTGGCTTTTATTTTTTCTCATTTTTAGGTTTTGAATCTTTCAAATGTTTTAAGTTGCTAATGTCTGCACATATTTTTCCCCCAGATGAATTTTCCATTTTGGAGTGCTAGGTGTTTTGTTTTGTTTTTTAGTTTGTATCCAAGTTCCATGGTTATTCCGACAGCTGTGCTATACATGATCTGGTTTATTCCCTTTAGCGTGTTGGTTGGGATTGTTCTGTTTTGTTTTTTAGTTTGTAACCAAGTTCCATGGTTATTCCGGTAGCTGTGCTATACATGATTTGGTTTATTCCCTTTAGCGTGTTGGTTGGGATTGTTCTGATTGCGACATGTGCATCTGTCAGTAGATCTTTTACTGGCTTACTTTGTAATTGGCACAAAATGGGGAGTCTTTGTCTTTCTGTGTTTTGCCTAATATCAGTTACTATTTTTTCCCATCAGTGATGTCTGCCATATTGTCAATCATAATTGTTGTTCCATGATTTGTTCCTCTATTGCATCTACTTTTACCCTCCATTTGTCTTCCATACTATAATCATTGTGTTGTGTTTTTTCTTTTGCTGCCGTTGTTCCTCTATTGCATCTACTTCTACCCTCCATTTGTCTTCCATACTATAGTCATTGTGTTGTGTTTTTTCTTTTGCTGCCTTTTCTAGTTCAATCAATTCCAGTTCTGAAAACACTTTACTCTGGATTACAGTATATGCCTTCTCTGGTCCATTAATCATTATTCAGTTGTGTAACTATTTGGTACAGTGGTGCCTTGCTTGACAACGATGTGTCACTATTTGGTACAGTGGTGCCTTCCTTGACAACGATAATCCGTTCCATTCAAATCACTGTTAAGCGAAATGGTCATCAAGCAAAATTAAAAAAAACCATTGAAATGCATTGAAAACCAGTTCAATGCGTTCCAATGGGTGAAATACCTGCTCGTTTTCCGAAGATCCTCCATAGGGCGGCCATTTTCCGGTGCCTGTAAAGTGAGGAATCCATCCTAAACACAGCGGCAGCCATTTTTAGAGCCGCCAATCAGTTGTTTTTAAATCGTCGTCTAGCGAAAAATCGGTTCCTGAAGCAGGGAACCGATCCTTAAGCGAATTTCCCCCATAGGAACATTGTTTTGCGATCGCAATAGTGATCGCAAAAACTTCATCGTAAAGCAGATTCATTGTTTAACAGGGTAATCGTTAAGCAAGGCACCCCTGTATTTCCTTTTCCATCATTCTTTTTTGAAAACCACAGGCTATTGGGTTTGCCTTGTAATAGTATTTCATAATTTCTCAATTTTTGGCAGGAGTCAAAGTTTTGCATTTAGGTTGTTTCAATAGCTTTGCAACAGCCTGTCCTGATTCCTCAACAGGGTCTGCTGAGCCCTGTACCCCATTTGTTACCAGATGTCCAGGGGCTATACCATCTGATGACCCAGGCAACAACCGATCTGGTATGGTTTCTGTTTATTTTCTCTCATAATAATTGATGGTTAGAAGGCACAATCTGGTTTCTCAGCGGTCCTGTGTCACCTGGGAGACCCTTCAGGTGGCAAACTACTGCCGGCATAGCTCCCCACTTCACTGAAGCAAGCCCCTCTCCCTCAACAAGGCCTCTGTTCATGAAGGAGTTGTTAATAACAACAACAATAATAATAATAATTTATGTAGTTTTGAACTCTACATGAAATGTGTCTTGGTTTTTTTGTATATGTATCCCTTCCCATACGATAATAAAAACCCTGAATGTTATGCCATCGCTCTAGAAGCTTCTTAGTACCCCAAAGCAGAGAATACAAAAATAAATAAATGACCTTGGAGTCACCAGAGGAAATAGTATTCAAACAGCAGTTGATAGCAACTTGTGAAGTATTTGAAATAAATGAAAAGTACTTAAGATTCTAGCATTTTAAATAATTTGTTTACATTTCTCATGATTCAAGTGTGGTAAAGAACACATTTACAGTTTTATGTCCAGAGCAAAAAGAAACCATTTTCAATACTTATCTTCTTTTTTTGCTGATTGAAGTTATCTATGATCACACCAATGAAAAGGTTTAAGGTAAAAAATGACCCAAAGATAATGAAGATAACAAAATAAAGATACATGTACAAGTTGTCCTCATAGTATGGCTGATCTTCTACCTATAAGCCATTAAAACAAATTATAGGATCTTAGATACAGAAAACAATCAATTTCTTTCATAATAATCCAAGAGAAAGGGGGGGAAAACAAACATGTAATATGGATGCAAACATAGTCCTGACAACTTTAGCTTGGATCCACCAATTCTACTCAGGACTGTGACTTGTAGGAAGAGTCTGGCCTATAGAGGTGCAGTGTTTGCTTGTCTTTCACACAATTATAACTTTTGGCACCACCTCCAAAGCTGATCTAGAGGGTCTGGATCAGACTCTCAGGGGTGGAGAGGATAAGGGATTACAAGTGGAGGAGGAAACTGGAAAAGATTGTCTCCTTCCATCTTCTTCCACCAATGGGAATATTCTACTGGTTCAAAATCCTTCCATAGATAGAAGGAGCTTTTCTCTCTCCAGGAGGTAGATTTGGAATACATGCCGTGAGCAGTACTTTTTTTTTAGTTCATTAAGTTACACAGACTTCAATCATGCTCATTCATACATTTTTTTTTTTAAAAAAAGCTAACTGTTTTTAAGAGCCAACTGAAGACCTGGCTCTTTAGGCAGGCCTTCCCTCCAGTCATTACTTGATTTTCTTTTCTAACCTAACTCCCATTTTGTTTTTCCATCTTGAAAGCCACTAATATTATTTAAATTGCTGTTTTAATTGTTTATATGTTGTTTTTAATGGTTTTGCTGTAAACCACCCAGAGTAGACGTAGTCTAGATGGGCGGGATGCAAATCTAATAAATAAATAAATAAGACTACTTTAAATGAAATCCCATTAGCTACAGAATGAAAAATATAAGAAATGATTTTTAAATTGTTTAAATATATATATTGATACTTACATCCCGTGAATCAACCGCTGCATACATTATATCCATCCACCCTTTAAATGTAGCCTATAAGTGAAATGCAAAGATTAAGAATAGCTGTAAAGCTACAGGGAGCTGGATCTAGACTTAATCGCAGAGTAGAAACACTGACAGCAATGACACTGATATTAATCATGACTAATTTAAATCCCACAGACACCTCAGATCCCTGTGACTGAGTTTAGTTAACAACCAGAACATTAAATGTAGTCCGCCTACTTCTGCTATACAGGAAATTTTGAAGCCAACACTTTGCAGAGTTGTAGCAATACTTTACAGCATGATTCTGTATTTGGTACACTACAGAGGCATATGTAATCTGACAGAAAGATCCTAGAGCTAGTGGACGGGTACATAATAAAGTTGCTGTGCTCCCCCGCAGCAGCCACAGGGGGTGGTCTGTGTAGGTACTAATTCTTCCTGCACAGCACCCTTCTTTTCGACACAAGAAGGCCAGGCAGACAGACACAGAAACTAAGTTATTAGTGACTCTTTTTGTTGCATTTTAAGGGTCAGGGGAACGGACCCACTACCTTACTAAAGTACTAGAGGAATTTCATCTAAGTGAGAAGGATAAGTGGGGATCTGCTTAGATAGCTCAATGAGAAGGAGTGGCTGGCTGCAGTCAGGGGGTCAGGAGTTTGACTGCCCACCATGCCTCCTTGGGAAAAAGCCAGCCTGGGTAGCTTTGAGCAAGCTACATAGTCCCATTGGCTTAGCTGTCCTCATGTCAGAGAAGGATTTAGTCCAACCTGTATCTGACAACTACGATGAAGAACATGAGAACTTTAGGGATGGAATCTGAATGAGCATGATTGACCTTTGTTGAATACAGGACCTTCCTAGACAGTACTGGCTTTCAAGCTGGCTGTTTAAGTTACAGAAACTACACAGAATGCAGAAGTAAGTCCTGTGTTTCTTTATTAATAGAGCACCTGTCTTATTTTTATAATATGGATGTAGAATGGTCAATCAAGAGATATATTCGTGAAGGCTTTCACGGCCGAGATCTAATGGTTGTTGTGGGTTTTTCGGGCCCTCTGAAGATGCCGGCCACAGAGACTGGCGAAACGTTAGGAAGAACAAACTTCAGAACACGGCCAAAGAGCCCAAAAAACTCACAACAACCAATCAAGAGATAATTTAATTTCAGAAAATTCTGATTCGGCTCATAATGTTGCTAATGTCATAAATACCATAGTGGCAACATTGCTAGCAAAAGCATGGCATCTACAAGTGCTTTCCCCCTTAACTCATATTTTAGCTCTCTTATTATGAAACTATGTTTGTAACAATATGAAAGGTTCTGAGATAATAGTAATTTAAGCCTTTATCTCTTGCTTTTTATATCCCTGTTTCTCAGGTGGTTTATACACATCAAAATATATATTTTAAAAGCCACCAGTAAGTGCAAACAAAATATCCAGAAGAAACAAACTTATTAAGTCAGAGAGTATAACAAAACTGAAGATCATGAAATGTGGTCAAAGGCTTAGGAAAAAAAAATAAAAGTTTCCTAGTACATTAAAGGTAGCTATACAGGCACTAGTGTCTCTCTGTATCTGGGGTTGTTGATGTTTAGTCATTAAGTCATGTCTGACTCTTTGTGACCCCATGGAGCAGAGCACGCCAGGCCCTCCTGTCTTCCATTGCCTCCCAGAGTTGGGTCAAATTCATGTTGGTAGCTTCAGTTACACTGTCCAACCATCTTGTCCTCTGTCGTCCCCTGTTGTATCTGGGGACTTGTCCCCTTACTGCACTAAACTTTACCTCTGATAGATGCAGAATCTGGAGAAAGGCACTGGCCAATGAAGTAAATATGCCTCATGTACGGCTTCTTCTGTGTGCAATGATTCCCAACCTTGGGTAACCCAGATGTTCTTAGACTGTAGCTCCCAGAAGCCTCCACCACTAGCTATGCTGGCCAGAGGTTCTGGGAGTTGCAGTCCAAGAACACCTGGGCTTCCCAAGGTTGGAAACTATCACTCTTATAGAGCCAGCAAGAGGTTCTCTTCTGCTTTTAATACTGGACAAATGCCACTGGAACACATGGAGTTTTGGACTGGAGCTAAGGAAGCTGACCATTTTGCATACTCTGTTTATGTAGGTGCAAGGATGAAGAATTACTTACAACTTGAAGCAAAGCGAGATAACCAGCTCCAACATTGTCAAAGTTTACTTTCACATTTTTCCACCGGGCAGCCTGATTGTTGTTTGTAAGTTCATCACACTGGGTTTTATTGTCAACCTCGCTGATATTAAACATTTCACCCGTCGTAGTATTAACACAATGGTAGAACTTGCCAGCAAACAGATTTACACCCATGATGCTGAAGATCAGCCAGAATATTAGACAAACTAGAAGCACATTCATGATGGAAGGGATTGCTCCAACAAGAGCATTAACAACCACCTAGTGTGCAAACGGGAGGAAGAGAGAGAGAAAGCTCAATTTCCCTTTTACAGCTGAATAACATATGCACTTAAGTCATTTTATATGTACATATAGACAAACATGTGAAAACTTTATGCATGTTAAACAGAAAATCCTATTGTTAATGGTGAATTATAAACAACATGAGAAGAAGAAACTAAACTCTACAAGGAAAGCAAGTAAGTGCAAAAATAAAAGAAAACCTGGTAGTGGTAAGATGGAACCATAAAATTTGTGTACACTAGAAAAAAAGAAAGAGAAAAAAAATTAATACCAACATACAAATCAAAGAACAAGGCATCAGAGTAGGACTTCAAATTAAAAAATGGCTGGGATGAGAGCACTGAATACGCAAAATGTGTGAAATCAATCCACTGGACATTAACTGTAGCTTCTTAGTAAACAAAACATAAAAACAAAACAAACCCCCATGCTTCATCAGGGGTAGATCTCCAGAAATTTACATAAATAAAAGAATAGTAATGAATGAAATACTTTAGTTCCTTTCTAGTCAAACATCATCATTGCTACCTGCTGGGATTTGATTTTGCACTAAGGTGAAGATGCAACCTCTAAGGCAAATCAAGATTGCATGTGTACACAGTTTCATTTCTGAGAGTCCAGGAGAGATTTTCCAGACATTAACATTTAGACTGTGTCCCAATATGCATTCCAGTGGCACACTGTGAGCCTCACTGCACTGCACATGCACTGGCCAGAATCCTCTTTGCCCCTCTGTGTATGCAACTGTCTCTTTTTCAGAATGCCTGCCTGTCTCCATAACACAACTGTTTCTCAACCAGGTATTTCTATACTGTCTGATTTTGAGGGTCCTCTAGGCCAAAGCACTGTGGGAAGGGTGGCCTGAAGCTCAGCAGGACCACCCTTCCCATGATGCCACACAGCAGAAGCAGTAGATTTCTGCTAGCATGGTATGACCAGGGCGCCATAATACTCTGCAACTGCAAACAGGATACTACACACAGGGTCTTTATGGCTGTAAGCAACCAGGCCTCACCACCTGCTGGACATCCAACGGGACACTCCCTCATATGCTGCTGTCTGGAGCACAGAAACTGTTCAATCTGCAGCATGGCAGCTACAAGGTGACAAACCATCTATATACTGCCATATTCTTGAAACCTATTTCTCTCAAAATAAAACCCTGCTGAAAGAGAAAACTGAGGATGACCATAAAAGAGGACAGGTCTGCTGGCAGACTAAAACAAGGGAATCACGCACACAGCCATCCTAAACATAACATTTCAAGGTGAATGATATTGCTCAAGAGATCTATTTCTTTTTTTAAAATTATTATTAAATGTATTTGTGAAGGCTTTCATGAATACATTTAATATTATTATTAAATTTTATTGGGGGCAGCTTGAGATCAGAATGGGTGGATAAACCCACTGCTCCAGGGTGGGGCATGCCTCCCATTCTGGTCACAAGCTGTCTATGTCCACATGCATCCCATACTAGCTAAAATATTTCTGTTCATTCAAGATTTGTGCATTCAAGACTTGCCACAATTAACTGATGGGATACCAGGGTACGTATCAACCATGTGCTCAACTGTGCAACTGAGATATGCCTCAGCATCTCAGCCATTAGCTGCAAGTTACACAAATTTTATGCAAACATCAATAGGATTCTGGCTACTGTGTTTTGTAATAATACAAGAATGGTCTATTAATATAGTGTAATGACAACCTATTTCAAACCTTCTACTTCATACCCCAATCTTTCTTTTGATAACTTACTTTAGTACACCCACTGAGTCTTCCATTGTAGATTTTGTCTTTGTAAGGAAAATAAGGATCTAGATCTTAAAAGCCTTCTGAGTTCTAATTGTATTGATAAACTGGGGAAATTTCAGAATCCACAAAGTGGAAGCTCAACATTCAGTACATATATCTGATATCCACATGACAACTCTCACTGGATAGATTTCATTCCTGCTGTGAATAATCCAAAATTCAGTGGTCCTGAAAATTAAACTCATATGGTATTATTTTCGTGATTTTTAAGCCTCTACATTCAGCCTTAGGCCCTGTATTCTAAGCTCTATACACCAGAATATTGTATTGCTGAAGGAACTGTTTGATTTTAAAGTACTGTACATTCTTGACCAAAGCTCATAAAAACTAGACATCAGTTAATCATGTTGTTGTTAGAACTTGTCCATTATGAGCATCATTGTCATATACACTCACCTTTAGTTCATTGTTGAGGTAACAGAAGAAAGTAATCCTCTACTGTTTTTAAGTGATGTCCATATAGAAAGCATGCATTGTTAGGGCTGTATATATGTTGCAGTTCTGTGTGAGTACAGAATGTGGCGTTTTGTGCTCAATTTCTAGCTGTTCTGCTTACGAAGGTCTCCTATCCTGGAAACCCATCTAGAGTTCATAAACTACACAGGATGGCTTAAGAAGACTTCCAATAAGGCTTCAATGGGGTATCTTTGGCCCTCCCACAACTCACACAGTAAGATCAAATTATGCAAAATGGTATCAATTATGGAAGAAAACTACATGAACGAGGAACTTATGACTTCCAAATAGCCTTGCAACTCCTAGGAAGGACCAGGGCATTTCCCTTGTTTTTCAAAGGAGAAGCACGTGGGAACAATGAAGGCGTGAAGATTTCCTCTGTTGCCTCCTGTTTGGGGGCTCTATCCCCCAAATTCTGCCTGGGGGATTCGGGGCAAATTCCAGGAGTGGGAGGCCAAAAAACCTCAAAAGTCCCATTCTTCTTCAACATTATCAATGCAATCCTAAAATCACTGAAAGCAATATACATGCAAGAGACAAAGACGGTTTAAACGGATAACTAAGAGGGAACCATCTAGGAAGGCTGTCAAATTGATTGTATCTTAGAAATGCTGATTCTTATGGCATGCAGTAGAAAACATTGTAATATTTCAGCATGTATTTATAATTCCTCATTTTCCAGAATACCCTTGTTTCATGCACATATTATTTCAGGTTTATGCATTGCTGCCTCACCCTCATGCCTTCAAATCGTGACAGGGCTCTTAAAGGCCTCAGAGCTCTCAGTGTTCGAAGAGATTTAATGGCACCAAGTTCAGAATAGCCCAAAGCATTGGCTACCAAGCTAACCAGTGAAACCTGCAGGAAAAGGAATAAAAGATGTTACTGCCATTTTAGACACAGTGAACAAGATTCTGCTATACATGGACTATATTTTGAATTAGGATTTGGTGGCGCTCATGCCCAGACACAAAAGATTTTATATATAACAATATATTTTTGTATCTGCTCTTGGAAAACACTATCGGTTGAACTGCTTGGGAGAAATCCTGCTACCAGAGGAAAAAATGTTTGTATAAAACTGGACTCATTTTATTTGTAATACTTTAGTGATCCAAATAAAGGTATTGCTTAACCTAGAACATTACTGGGAATACCATCTTTGAGTATATCACCAGCAATCCAGCCCTGCTTAATGAAACCATACCTGCTTTTGCCTTTCAATGACCTACTCTTCTGTTATTGCTTGTGCTCTTGTCTTGTTAGACTGCTGTTTGACTGACTTTCTGATGACCGAACCCAGACGTAACATGGACTTTGGTGCTGGTTGCCCTTGATTTGGATTGATGGCTTAGCATGACTTTGATTTACGGCTTGACTTAGCATGAACTCTGACTAGCCATTCTGTCTTTTCCTTGAACTCTCCCTTGCATACTGACTTGCCCTACCTTTTCAGCTTCTCCCTTTGTCCTTACAGAGAGACTGCACCCTGTCTGGTGTTCTAAGCAGCCAGTTAGGCACTTTTATAGGAAAGGACCCATGTCTTTTGGTCTGTTAAGAGTCAATAACCCTGCTGTTTTTGCACTCTCAGAGGTATGCCCATCTTACATAGTCAACAGAGTAGAACCTCTTGTCAGGCTCCCAGATCTGACTCTAGTTACCAACTCAAAGTTTTCAGCTTCAGCAACAGACTGCTGAAATTTCATTTGGTAGGCCATGAGATAAATGGGGAAAATGCTGCGAAAATATAAATTCAGTAAGGACTATGTGCTCTCTCCATAGTGATGGTGGGGAAGAGAATAAGCTCCTGTGTCTTGGGTTAATCAATAATGGCTATGAATTATAATGATGCTAGCAATAATTATGTTTTCATCAGCTTTTTTATAAGCTTTAACACTGTGTAATAAAATGATGATTTTTTCCATAAAAACATTGGCAGCTACCAATGCTCTTTTTAAAATAACCAAGCATTGATTATTCAGCTACTTACTGTACTCTGTTTTCCGAAAGTAAGACAGGGTCTTATATTAATTTTAGCTCCAAAAACACATTAGGCCTTATTTTCAGGGGATGTTTTATTTTTTCATGCACAACAATCTACATTTATTCAAATACTGTCATGTCATCTTCCTCTGGTTGCTTCACAATGGTGGAGGGCAGGGTTTAACTTAATTGGGGCTTATTTTGGGGGTAGGGCTTATGAAAAATCATACTAGGGCTTATTTTCAGGTTAGGTCTTGTTTTAGGGGAAACAGGGTAATATATGGTGAATACAAGTCCTGTTTCACAACCTATAGGAAAATACCTTATATGGAGTCACATCACCACATATGGCTTGGTATGATCTACTCAAAGTGGAAGGAAGTTGGACATGTGACACTCAGCATTTGAAGCTCATGCTCTACCACTATATCTTCCCATGATAGAAAATATATATACAGTATTTGGGTCTGGTTTTGGCCGTAACTCAAGCACAGAGGGTCAGAGGCAGATTTGTTCTCCTGCCTGTTGCCGGGTAACCGCTAATCACTGCTGCTCCCTGTCAGTTTGAGTGCATCTGTTGCTAGGAAGAGAGACTGAACAGTCAGTCTGCAAAACACATTCAAAAGGGAAGAAGGGTAACTCTACTAAATATGGCCCTTTAGTGGACCTCTGTGAGGGAATGGGATTTCTCCCAGAAGAACTGCCATAAGAGTCTGAGGTGGTTTTACGAGGAAAAACTAACACTCTATGGTTTGAACATACCGTATGTAGCGGCGAATGCCAAGTCAACCCCAAACTCCATTGTTGCTTTCTTCATGCTGTCATTGTAGAGTCTAACATGGAAGGATTCCTGTTCCACCCAAGGAAGAATCCTGGAAAAATCTAGGTCCTTTCTTGCATGAAGTGCAAACACATCAACAAGAACTTCTGCTCTTCATTTAGGCCAATGATCACGTGAAGAACACAGCAATGGAAAAAGGTGGTGCTAGACACTTTCCTCTAAATACTGTACAGTACTTTCAAACCACCAGACTCAGTAATGCCTGAACACGGCCTCAGAGACAGTCTAAAATGGGTGCTGCTGGTGGTGGAAGAGTCATGAAGAAGAGGCACTGAGAAAAAGAACAGTGAAGGAGTGGGAATCCAATTAACTACACTGAACACAACCTGAAGCTTTATTGCTAACCACCAATCAGGAAGACCAGAAGTCTACAGCTGTATTTACCCCAAAGGATATACAACTTTAAGAGGCCCTTGAAGGTCTGACTGGCAGTCTGTCATCACCTTACAGGAAAGATTTACCCTAATGGATTGCCTACCATCCAACTATAATTATTTTTATCGGTATTAAAGAGTGTTTCTACTGGATATATTTGTTACCCTTTTCTACTGCTCTTCTAGCGATCAAAGCTATTGTTTTAGCATCAAGTGGCAGAGTTGGAATTAAAAGGAGGGTTTCTGATGTTAGGGATATTGAAAACCCATCCTAAGATCTTTCTGGCTTCTGTATTCTTTCCATTTTTATTTCCACCTCTGAGCTGCAAGATAATTTCAAAGTTTTCTGGATTTCATAGGCAGCTGTGGGTATAATACTAATGAGGCCAAGAACATCTTAACTACGTTATCAAGAACATTGCCCCTCTACACTGCTTGAGGCAAACGGCCATGTTCTTCAAATACTAATTCTCTGCTCACCAATAGTGCTATTTACCACACTTTTCCTTTCCTTATTGCTTATGTTCAGTTTTTATGGTCGCTCTGCCTTTTTAAAAAGAAATTCACCTAATACTTATTGTTCAAATATTTCAGCATAATATGTTGTTATTACCTAACAATATATCTATTACAATGTAGTGAGACATTTACTTGCCACTATTTGGTAGGCATTTGAGCTGATTTTAACCCACAGCAGCACAAATCTTTCTTTTGGATATTTCATACCAATACAGAAGACATCATCCCAGCACATGGCAGATTATTGTACAAAAAAATCTTAGCAGATGATAAACTTGCACAGCACAAGAGTAACCCAACGAGACTCCCATGTGGCAGCTGGACTGGTTGTGGCACCTGGTACACAGGAACGTACCCTTTTGGGTTTGTGGCAATGTGGGCAGAGATCGTGATTTGTAGATCAAACTGGTGAATTAGAGGGAGCAATTAGGGAACAGGAAGAGACAAGTAAATTTTGCCGTATGTAGGGAATTATTTTGAAGGTAAACCCTATGTGTTGCCTTGGGGAGGGGTATTCATTTTTCAGAATGAGTATTTTAATAAATAAATGCAGCAAAGGGCAGTACTTGTTTGACAAAGCCTGTGAGGAAAAATTATTCACCCCATAACTCTTCTGAAATTGTATGTGTGTTCTTGTTGCTTTTAGGATGATACAATGAAAGTTTAAATCTATCAACAAACATGGGGGCTTTGTTTCAGAGATAGACAGCTGTCTTGGTTGTAGAGATAGATGGGTGGACTGAGAGGGGTTTTAAATGGACTGTTGTGCTCTGTTGTTTTAAATGTATTTTAACATTGATCTTAGTTACCATTTAATATAGTACTCGTTTAATTCTTTTTAAATATTTGTATACTTACTGTTTTAGCTCTTAAAAACTGTTTTAGTAATGTAAGCTGCCTTGGGTAGTTTCGGGGAGAAAGGTAGCATAGGAATATTTTAAATAAATAAATAAATAAATAAATAAATAAATAAATAAATAAATAAATAAATAAATAAATAAATAAATAAATAAATAAATATTTATTTATTTATTTATTTATTTATTCATGTCACTGGAGTCAGGTCTAAACATAATCCTGGGTATGATTTTTTTAAAATGAATTGTAATTACCGTGTTTCCCCAAAAAATAAGACAGGGTCTTATATTAATTTTTGATCCAAAAACGCATTAGGGCTTATTTTTCAGAGGATATTTCATTTTTTTTCATGTACGACAATCTGTATTTATGCAAATACCGTTGTGTCATCTTCTGGTTGCTGCACAATGCTGCACAATGGTGGAGGGCAGGCTTTCACTTAACTACGGCTTATTTTTGTTGTAAGGCTTATATTACGAGCATCCTGAAAAATCATCGTTGTTGTTTAGTTGTTACGTCGTGTCTGACTCTTTGTGACCCCATGGACCAGAGTATGCCAGGCCCTCCTGTCTTCCACTGCCTCCCAGAGTTGGGTCAAATTCATGTTGGGAGCTTTGATGAAAAATCACGCTAAGGCTTATTTTCAGGTTAGGTCTTATTTTCATGGAAACAGGGTAAACAAACAAACAAACCTGCCAGAAGCACATGAGCAAAATCAAGTCTCAATGCTCCAGCAGTATTTCCTCTGCTGTGTGGCCCATTCCTCATATTGGCTAAAATCCTTCTGTGCAGTTATGCCAGCATAAAGCAATAACATAACTTCTGAAGGTGAACTGCTTCAAGTTAAGGAATCAACACCGTACACATCAGTTGAATGTGGAGTCATGCAACTCGACACACAACAGGCAAGATCTACAGTGATGTTACTGAGGCCATCCCAAAGTTACACTCTACATTATTCCAATGAAACTTCATAAGAGGATTTTGGCTATTATGTTGGATACCTCTGACTGAATAAGAGGTTCATAAAGCCAGATGTTAAAGATCTAACTGTCACATTAACTCTGTGGTATGCTGATGTTATGTAATTATTTGCTGCTGCTAATCTTGTTAGAGGTACACAATCAACCCTGAGTGCTCACTGGAAGGACAGATTCTGAAGCTGAGGCTTCAATACTTTGGCCATCTCATGAGAAGAGAAGACTCCCTGTATAAGACCCTTTGACCATTAATTCTTTCAATTCCTTCTCTGTCCTCCCTGGGTCTTGTCTTCCTGGGTGGGGGAAGTGGCGGGGGTTGACTCTCTTTATCGTCAGTAGGTGGGAGGGACAGCACTCCCGTGAGAGGAGCCTCACTCTCACCTCCGGTCTCACAGTCTTATTTTTGGGGAAACAGGCTATGTCTCCAGATTTTGGGAAGTAAAATAAAGGGCACTTTTCTGTCTTTTTATTTATTTATTTATTTATTTATTTATTGATTGATTGATTGATTGATTGATTGACTGATTGATTGATTGTCATTGTAAATATATACACAGTATACCCATACAATGAAATTCACAGACACTCAGAGACCAGACACATGAACACACATAAAATTCTCCAAACACTCCCCACCCACTAAAAGTCCACACTAAAAATACAAACATCTACATCACAGGCCAAGTAACACAGTCCTTTTACCTTGATGCGGGCTTGTTTCTGTTTCCAGTTCACACTCTATATAGCAACATACTGAACCTAGATTTAATTTCAGCTGTTAAGCAGCTAACTCAGATCTGCCCTTCAAAAGCATGTACAGTATTTCAAAAAAGATGTATATTCCTATAATGGAAAGACAAACCACACAAATCCCATAGCAAAGCACAGCCAAGCCACTGCATCACTTATCTTTGCTTGTCACACCTGCTCCTCTGCCATACAACTAAGCCAGGAACACAGAGATTGCAACATTTGCATCAACACAGAAACAACACTTTCATTTTTCTGAATCTTGGCTGACCAGATACAAGGAGCTATCACTTCTCAATTCATGCCCTCATTCCCTACTCCCTAAGAGATGCTCAACTTATGAACAAGTCCTTTGAGAAATCAGGTTAGCTGTAAACTCTAGGGGAAGCCCCTATAATAATGCATGCAAAAGACACAGTTATTTTTGTTAAGTGCTGAAGATGCCAGTTACTAGCAAAATTTATTTACATGTACACAAGAGCAAAAGAGGAGCAAAGTAAATTATGGGTTTTAAGTACTCACATCCACGATAAGGAAATCCAACCAGCACCAGGCATTAGTGAAATACATCTGAAAGCCATAAGCTACCCACTTCAGAAGCATTTCCAGAATGAAGATGTATGTGAAAACCTTGTCTGCATATTCCAACATCGTCTTGATGGTCTTGCGTTGTTCAGTGTATATGTCTTCAAAGGCCTGTTGTTGAGATGGAACCACTGCTTTATCATTCATAAAAGCAGAGCATGATTCAAATATGCAAGTTGTATCTCTAAAAATTTCACTTTAACTTCATTTTCTACTAACACATTGCAAAAAAAAAATCAGCAAGAGGAGAAACTGTTTTACTTGTTTTTTCTTTTCATTAAGTTTACTTATTCAGCTTATATTTATAACCTTGGCATGTGACTATTATGTACCAAACATTTTCCAATCTGAAAATACAGTATATGCCAATCACTTTAAATAACATACATTAAAAAACTTTAATGCCATAAACATTTTGAGAAAAATATTATTTTTATTTTTTAATTTGCTCACCAGAGCACCACTGCTGAGGAGAATCATAAATACAATGAACGTCTCAAACCAGTTGTGTTCTACTATGATGTAGCAGGTTTTTCTAAAATTCCACCAGATTTTTCCTTTGCCATCTTCTATACTCACTTGACAACACGGAAACTTCTTGATGCAGCCTGTTTACAACAACATTCAACTATTAAGTGTTGGGATAAATATTATTTTATTCACTCACTTGCTGACTATTCCTTACCCCTGTTTTTCCTTCCAAGAGTTCAAGACTGAATACATAATGCTATTCCAGTTTATTCTCATAATAACTTTGAGATGTAAAATAATAAATTGCTGGTCTTATGGCTTAACTTTAATAAACTCATCAACTACTGAATGAAGTACAGCATTCAAGGCAATTTAATTTTGCTGCTATGGAAAAAAACATGTCAAAACATATTTGTGTTTAGATACAGGAGGAAAATATCTAGTGGTAGCTGTCCATTTGTGACATGTGATAAACTGTGTCCAGCAGGATGCATGGATTTTCATCCATTTCAGCTGCAGCTCTACAAAAACGCACAGTTAGCTCCATGCAAAGAGGACTTTGGACACGAAAGTGAAGTTACTTTCAAAAGCAGATAGCGATATGGCAAGATGTGCTCTTCAAAGTAGCTCTTCAGATGTAAGTTTTTCACTGGTGCAAATACAAATGACAAGTTACACACTGTCGCCCTTCAGGTTTTAGACCTCGGTTATGCTTTTGGATGAATTTATTTATTATTTTATTTATTTTATTTGTACCCCGCCTATCTGGTCAATACGACCACTCTAGGCAGCTGGAGTGGGGGAGGAGAAAGATTATTCAGCTAGTTCTTGTTTACTGTTATCCACTCAACCCATGCCACAAACTGCTTTCCTCTCTATAAAAAGGAGATTTTCCATGTGGATGAGAAAACAGCTGGGATGATGTGAGTGGATAAATGGCAGGATAGGAAAATAGGAAGCAAGATACTTTTTCTCTCCAATTCTGACTGTGGCAGCTTCCAAGATTGCTTTTCAATGGTAGCTGAGTTTTTATGGTCAAGAGCAAGGGTCTCCAAATGATGGCCCGCAGGCCAAATCTGGCCCACCTTGCCTTTTTATCAGGCCTCAAGAGGGTAAATACTGTACTGCAGCTACATGAGCCTTGAAGCTGATTGACTTTTTTTTGACACCTGAGAACATATAACATAAACATGATAGTAAAGAGGGGCAAGCACAATATAATTGTGACTATAATGTTTTGCCACCAGTCATTTGAACATCGTACAGGGGCACTACGATAGACAAAACTAGTACTGGGGAGCTGAATTAGGGGGACTCTTCATTTCGTCAAATAAAATGTATTTTTCTGCCCCTGTTACCTTCTGTAAAACAGGCCTCAGGTTCAAGAGCCTCTTCAGGTTCAATCTCTGCCTGTTCACCCTCTCCAGGCGGGGCTATATCCACTGTGCTGCCTTCAGAGGAGCTGGTTGCATTTAGCTTCTGAAAATAAAATCCCACAGAATAGGTTTTTTCCCCCCTGTAAGTCTGTGTCATACGCCAAAGGAGATACTTCTGAATAACAGCCCTCCTCAGCTTTATATTGGTCACAGAGACCAGTAAGTGGTTTGATGTGAACAAAAGCACAGCATTCGAACTGCCACTGTAGTTTTGTTTACTCACAGGAGACCTGAATTTTTATAAAAAACAATAAAAATGCTGTAGAAAAACGTCTGTGTATCCTTAAATGTACCTGAAATACAAGTTAAAAGTGGAGAGGCTGAATACATTTTTGAAAATATGTTTCACCATATCATATTACATGTAATCATTATTTCTCTTTATTAAAAATGTGCATCTTCATGACTGCTAAAGATTATTCTGGAATATGCAGAGAAAATTATAGAAAACCACCTGTTGTTCAAATGCTCTGTAGTGATTTTAGATGAGAGAACAGCGAATTACCAAATTAATTTTACAATGATCATATCATGAACCATGTGAAACCAGCTATTAAGTACAGACTGCAGTTCAGTGAAAAAAAATGTAAACCCAGCTTAAATTTGACCTTCTGAGCTAGTTGCTACAATTGTAAAATTCAGCCTATATGAAAAACGCATGCCATGTTACGGTTGCTGTTTTTGTGCTTGTGTGAGCTACTACAGCTCGTGGAACTTGCGTGCGTGCACGAGGGATTTGCATTCAAACACTGTGCTGTCACATGGTGATGTTCTCCTGTAGGAGGTGGGAGGGTGAGATGATTCGATGCATGCTCAGAGGCACTCTGTTCAAAGTGTTATAACTTAAAATACTGGCAACTGTAACTTCACACATTTCTTTAAAAAGAGGGTCTGATGGTACGAGGTGAAGAACATGTGAACTGGTCCACAGGAAATTTAATTTGCTCTGGAAAGATCTTCATGCATTTAGTTATTATTTGATTAAAAAAACACGTAGAGGATTATAAGGCCTTATGCACTGTATTTGCAGTAACTTTTAGAAAGTTACATCTTTTACTTATTTTCTTTACTCTTAATCTTTACATAAATGTTATATCCAACCTCTTGTCCTTGTAGAAGACTATGGAAAAATAAATGTGTGACTAAACTTTGCACAGTTTGCATTAGTGACTGTAAACTTAGTATTAGAGTTACATAATATTAGCCAATTAAATTGATTAACTCACATATTATTAATAAAATATGAATGTATTATTAAATAAAAACAAATTAAAGGCTGATCAAATGTAAGTTTGTGAAAGCAATACACTGTTGAGGTCATGACACTGAAACTTTACACAGCAGGGCAGAATTAAGTGCATATATTACTTTGTCATATTAAAATAGAAAAAGAGGCATTACAACTAGAAACCTGTCTCACTCCATAAAATAATACTTTATTTTTTTTCTCAAAAGTACTCTTAGGCTGACAGCTCAGTTATCTCAGATGGTAGGATAACACAATGTGACCCTTAATTTTTTGCTCTAAAGAAACCGATACAGATAAATTTATCCTGAGCTAAATTACATCATTTGAGAATTTTATGTTGACCCTATTATTAACCTGGATGTATGTGCAGAGTTCAGCAACAGTTAAGTTTGTTGCATGGAATAAATATAAAACATTAGATCTTATAACATGGAAGATGAGAATTAAATATTAATAATGAAAGCTGTATTCATCTCTGTGTACACAGAGACCCTGGGATATCTGTCACATGACTTAGTTATAGGATTTAAAAATTATAGACTGCAACACCTTTTCAAATATTCTAAGAACAATGCAGATGGACTACAGGAGTGCCCAGCCTCAATACATTCAGTATAAGATCGGACATAATGTGAATAATAAGTTTGCTGTACATTGTGCTGTTCCACACAAGAGTCATGCAGAATATCACAGCACAAAACTTTTAGTTTTAAAAAACTCATTCAAGAGAACTAATCTTCAGACAACTAAGAATGCCACTATGACATCACGTAGCTTTCTTCAGTTACCTTAGCGACAGACTATTTCGGACAGACCAATGGGGGAAAAAATTAATGCAAGGTAGCTTTATATTATTTTTCATTACTTCAACAGCAACGTGTCCAAATCCTTAATTTAACCAATGGCAGTAAATTTTATATTAGTCTCTTCTAGTATCAGTCTGGCCTCTGCTATTACTGTTGAATAACTCATTGGTTTACGTCTCTTGCTGTGCAGCCAGAGGTTGGGAATTCGATTCCCCACTGGGCCTCCTTGACAGATTTGGGCTCAATGATCCATAAGGTCCCTTCAAGGTCTGCGGTTCTAGGATGATGATGGTGATTGTTATTACAACATGAATACTACTATTTTTTAAGCTTACGTGTGTGCGTGTGTGCGTGTGCACAAATATATTTAATGTTTACTATATTAGCAAATACTGTACCATAAACTAAGATTCCCGTTAGCATCATTATTAGCAATACTGATGTGTAGGGTGGGTAATATGTTAATATTAATTAATTTTCTATTCTGCTGCCTGTTATGTTTTAAAAACTATTTTGTGTCTAATCCACTTTCTAATTTTTTCAGGCAAAACTATGTGTGCTGGGGGTAAGGGACAGGCCTGGGACTTAATGGGGCTCTCTCTCTCTCTTTATCCTTTCCGAGCTGGATGGTGCTCAAAGTCATTCACATCATTTTAATTCTAAAAGTCAGCAGCAAGAATAGGAATTATTATTTCCTAAAAGGTAAAAGAAAATGTACCCTGTCTGCAAGTATACTGAACTTAGTTCACAGAAGAAAGTCTAGAGTGTTTTTCTGTTATTACACAGTGGCTAAAATCCTCTTGTAGAGTTACACAGACAACGTAATCATTGAAAGCCAATTGCTCTAATTTAAGAAATTTCCATAGATGTCTGCTGCATACTGAGTTGTGTGGCTCAGCATGGAGCAGAGAATGCCTACAGAGGTTTCTTCATTTATATCAATTTGCTTCTAAAAGTTACTGGGCAACAGGATTTCAGCCACTATTTCTTAAGCAATTCACATTTTTAAAGGTTGGTTCCTTCTTGTTTCTCTAATTTCAGGCAGTTAGTTCCAAGAACGATTTGTAGCTGAGCACAAAGCACAAGCCGAAGATGCCATGTGTTTCACTGAGCTGGGTCAGCTATAAGCAAACTTCCAGGTTGAATAGCTCTATTTGAAGAATCCATGTACAGTATTACATTTTTCCTGTTATGCCATTGTAATCAATCAAAACTGAAAAACATGCTTTGGGGATGAAATTGACAACTACTAAAGTTCAACGGTACAGATTACATGGAACAAGAAATAGGGCATCCAGCTATGTTAAAAGAACTTTCAGCAAGCCTCTTTTCCTCTTTCACACCCTTGAGATCATACACATGCACTTCCAGTTATAAACAAACCAGAGTTCCCAATGACACGAAAAGTTAGGGAACTGTGGTTTGTTTGTGGCTCACAAAAACACATCACGACCAAATCATGCTTTCAGACAGTGGCTTGCTGCTTTTTAAAAAAAGAGTCTTTTTTCCTCCTTACTATAATATAATTAAAATTAAATCTTCACAAAAGCAAGGTTCCTCCTTACTATAATATAATTTTAAAATTAAATTAAAATTAAATCTTCACAAAAGCAAGGGTATAGTAATGACTGGGTTAGTCACTGTGTTAGTACATGAGTGGAAAATGAAATTTAGATGTCACAGAAATCTGACTTTGTTTAAAACCAGAAGTGAACACTTTTGATCTCTTCTGCTAGAGAGTGAAAGAGGAGGAAAACCAAAGGGGAAGCACATGAGATGGAAATTTGTTACAACACTCTCATGGAGTGGGAAACCACAATTCCATATTATGTTTGACTTGGGCCAATATGAGTACGTACTTTCAGTGGCCCCTGTGAGAGGCAGCAGAATTGGATCCCATATTTCCATGCAGGCAGTGATTCTAACCAATTGTACATTTCTTTGTGTTTTTAACAAATATATATGTATTTATAAATATATTATGGCATCAGATTCAGTAATAACTGAAAAAAAGCAGTAACTATTGTTTCTAACCCACATAATACAATGACAGATATTGCATGATTTCTACAACTGCTTTTGCATCAAGAAGGACACTTCAATGACAGTTTATCAGCTTTCTTTTAGAAACCACTAGGCGCTCATACAGAGAGAACATCTTATACTGACATTCTAGAAGGAGCATACTAGAAAGCATTTATTGATGATGCAGCATTCCCAAGGCCTGAATCAGCAAAACAACATGCTTTGACTAGAGCAGAAGCCTGTGCCATACCAGTGAAACTGCACCAAGAAAAAAAGACGATGAAGAAGAAGAAGAAAAGAAGTCCAACTTCTTTTTTTAAAAAAAGAGATGATCTGGAAAAATAGTTTGAATTCTAATCACCAGATAGTAAGCGGTCATCATCTAAATTGGTGTAGATGGCAACAGGGCAACAACTTTAGCTGTCTCTTGGATTTTAGTACATCTCTTGATTTTTGTCCTCATAATAAGAATAAGAATCACAAGCTTTGCCCAATAGCATGTTAATGGGGCTCATTTCCATTATCAGAAGCATTCACTTAAGGCCCAGTCTTGCTCTCATCGGATTTTGCTTTACATTATTTCAATGGGAGCAGGAGCAGGCTACTTATACAAATGTTAAAGCTTTACAAACCACTTCATGATTCAGGTGACATTAAACTAAACAAAGGGATTCAGCCATTATAAATTATCAGGAATAAGTCAGCTTGAAACACCTAAATTGCTTTGTGATGTGACAAACTCTAGGAAAAACAATTACCATGTTCCTTATTGTTTCAACCACATTGCTAAAGGTTTTAACTGCATATTAAGCATGACCAAAAAAACCCAAACCAAAAAATATATAAAATAAAAAAAAATTCATTAACACCCCGTATTAGTGTCTTTTTCTGATATTTTGGATTAGCTGAAGCACTTCTCAATTTGCAGCCTCGTAATATTTATGCTTACATTCCAGCAGTTCT